GCGGTGTCAAACCAGTTGGTGACTGAGGCGACTGAAATGTTTTTGTGTGTGGGATGAAAAGGAATCACACTTGACATTTTGACACTTGTTTTTTTCCAAAACAGATCAGTTGAGTAACAGGCTGTTTGGAAGTTTTTACTTCCTGTTTATTCCTACTCTCCGTTTACTGTGCGTTGTGTTGATCAGGGTTGAATCTCTGAGGTTTTTTTTGTCTCCAACTACAGTAGGGAAAAATGACAGAGGTTTCATTTTTGAAAATGTTGATAAATATTTTTGTACTTTAGGGTATTCTTCTTTTTTTCTGTTCACTTCTCCTCCTCTCTCCTTTCCTCTAATCCACAGTTATACAGTAAATTGTTTTTAATTCACCCTCAAAATAACTTTGTTCTTTAGGGAAAACACCAGCTCCACCTCCAGAAACCTTGGACTAACCCTCCCTCCTTCATTTCCTCTCCTCCTAGGTCTTCCCATCTCCTCCTTGGACGCTGTCGTCCTAGTGGAGGGTCAGTCCTTCCGCGTGGCGGCCTCCTGTCGGGCGGTGGGTCGTCCTCTGCCCCGTCTCTCCTGGGACACAGATCTGCCCGGGCAGTCCCAGAACCGCACCAGCGAGGGCGGGGCCGTGTCCACACACTACTCCTTGCACCCGTTGCGAGGCATGAATGGGAAGAAGCTGGACTGTTTGGTTTGGCACCCGGGTCTGGAAGGGCCACGCAGGATCTCCAACCGACTGGTGGTTCACTGTGAGTGAGGGTTTATCTGTGGACATCTGTGGACATCGGGTTAGCTGTTGATGGGTGAATGTTAGCCCACCAAGCTAACAGTATCCGTCCCCTGTCACACAGGAGTGACGTTTGTTTCATTGATCATTCACATTGTGTTTGTCTACGTGTGTCAGATCCTCCCGACGCCTCCATCTCTTCTTCTACATCCGCCTGGTACGAGGGTTTGGAGAACGGCGAGCTGACGTGCGACAGCGGAGGATTCCCGCAGCCTCAGAACGTCACCTGGACCTGGTGAGTGACCCGTTGCACGTCCCCCTTAGTCCCTGCAGCATCAGCTCTCTGTAATGGTATCTGTGCTGCTCAACTGCTCCTTACA